ACGATGCACCCCAAAGAGACTCAGGATGAGAAAACACAGGGTCCTGGCCCAGACAGCTGAGGTGCACATCAGAGAAATGACTTCACTGAGCCCAGCCTCTTGCATCTTCCCTTACAGAGAAAAGAGCTAAATTCATTAACTTGAGAAGTCTGGCTTTTAATCTGTTAAAAGATTAACAATAACCTTTTGTTTCAACTACTTAGTCTTTGTTGTAAAGACTTGTGTAGCCTGGCTCCCCTCTTCCTCTTTGGAGCAGTTCTCTCAGCTTTCTCTGAGATGCCGTCTCCCAGGACTGAAGTCCTAAGAATACCCTCCGGATGAAACACAAGTCTCAACTTTCAGTCTGTGCATTTTTCTCCAGTCAGAAGCATATGTTAAGATTCCAAGCTCATGAGGCATGCTCTGTGACTGGGAATTTCTGCAGTTAGTCAGGCCCCAGGACATTTCAGACGATGGAGCTGACCCTGACACTGCTAGAGATCAGACACCTATTCTTTAGCACAGCTTCACTGTGTGAATCCAGATCTCTTGACCAGGGTTCAGGTCAGTGTGTTGGGGGATCAGTGGGCTGGAAACATGAGGAAGTGGGAAAAGACAGGGAGACGTGAATGGGGGGGTTGGCAGAGTCAAAAACTCAAAAAGTGAGCCTCACCCTGGGGTGTAAGGGCCTCAGGGATCCCTCCTTCTGCTAGTGTCCTGGAGAAACATCTGTGTGTTTCAGAAGGAAATCCTAAGCTTCTCACAAAGAAATGCCAGTTCTTTGATGTGCCAACGTGCGCCTTTCATCAGCCATTGGCTCTTTTAGGTACCACTGGGTGGCACTGGTGGTAACAGAGAAAAAGTAAAATCCTGGAGAAGAACCATGATTTCTTTGAGAAGGTATGTTCCTGATGCATGAAGGCAGTAGGTCTGAACTGGATTAGTAGATAGGGGGGCTGTAACATGAATAGATGCTTAAGAGCAGCCCACTGATACATCCCTATTTATTCACGAGAAAGCAGGAGGCAAGGTACAGGTACAAGGAGGATGCTGAGGGGCCCTGAAAGAATGTGGGGCCCTTCTGCTCCCAGGAAGTTTGAGGAGGCACACCCTGGACATTAAAAAAGCAAACATAGGGCTGTGGAGGTGGAGAAAAGGAAGTCAACTGGAGACCTTGGGGGCCAAGGAAGGACATGGTGTGGTGAGTTCTTGCATTTCTTTTTCGCTTCAGATGTCCTAGATTAGGAACTGAAAATGCCAATGGGTGCAGACAGAAATAGCCCCAATAACAGCCCCTCCTTTTTCATCAGCCATTGGCTCTTTTAGGTACCACTGGGTGGCACTGGTGGTAACAGAGAAAAAGTAAAATCCTGGAGAAGAACCATGATTTCTTTGAGAAGGTATGTTCCTGATGCATGAAGGCAGTAGGTCTGAACTGGATTAGTAGATAGGGGGGCTGCAATATGAATAGACGCTTAAGAGCAGCCCACTGATACATCCCTATTTATTCACGAGAAAGCAGGAGGCAAGGTACAGGTACAAGGAGGATGCTGAGGGGCCCCGAAAGAATGTGGGGCCCTTCTGCTCCCAGGAAGGTTGAGGAGGCACACCCTGGATGTTAGAAAAAGCAAACATAAGGCTGTGGAGGTGGAGAAAAGGAAGCAGGTCAACTGGAGACCTTGGGGGCCAAGGAAGGACATGGTGTGGTGAGTTCTTGCATTTCTTTTTCGCTTCAGATGTCCTAGATTAGGAACTGAAAATGCCAATGGGTGCAGACAGAAATAGCCCCAATAACAGCCCCTCCTTTTAGACAGAGGACAAAGGAAGGGGCGGCTTAGGAAGACAGAAACCCTTCACACAATAACCTCTCTACTGGAGCCCGTCATCATAGAAACAGCTGTGGCCCCACTCCTATCCACACCAGCAAGGACCAGGCAGGTAGCTGCAGCCTGCCTTCCAGATGCCGTGACAGGTGCCCAGCCCTCCCTGGAGGGTCCTGCAGGAGCCCAAGCAGGGAGCTGGCCCTCATTCCACCTGGACCAGTAACAAGGCCCTGCTCCCTGGGGAGCGATGGGTGTTGGAGGGGATGGTGCAGGCAGGGCTGCCTCCCCACCCAGCAGCAAGCACCACGTTGCTTCTCCTCTTCCCCTGGGTCATTGTCCTAGGAGGCAGGGCTCTCCCCATGGCCAGGCATACGGAAGCACCCCAGTGTCAGGAGGCCACACCAGGAAGAAAAGATGCCCAATGCCACCAGGGAGCAATGGGAGCCCTCACCTAACTGTGAGGGGCCCATCTGGCAGCAAGGAGATGGCAGTCTTCCTTCTCCTGTAAGGACACTCAGAGGAAGGCAGCAACAACAGAAAGTTTACAAAAGATGCAGAGCCTCATCACATAATATGAAATGTCCAGGTTGCAACAAAAAAATCACTCATCATACAAAGAGTTGGAGAAGATATAAAATTAAAATAAAAAAAAATACGATCAGTAGAGATCAACACCAAGGTGAAACCATATTAGAATTATCCGAGAAAGGTTTTAAAGCATGCATGACAAAAATGCATCAATTAGCAATTATGAACATGCTTGAAACAAATGAGAAATGGAAAGCCTGAGAAAAGAAGTAAAAAATCCCAGCAAAGAAAGAGAGAAAAGGAAGGAAGGACTGGAAAGAAAGAAANTTTTTTTCAAAAAAAAAAAAAGAAAGAAAGAATCACTGAAAAATTTTCCCATTTGGCAAGAAGCCTAAGCCTGCATCTTTTTATTTTAAACTTTTTTATTTTGTATTGGGGTATAGCCAATTAATGATTTAATAGTTTCAGGTGAACAGCGAAGGGACCCAGCTATACATATGCATGTACTCATTGTCCCTCAAACTTCCCTCCCATCCAGGCTGCCACATAACATTAAGCAGAGTTCCATGTGCTATACAGTAAAGCCTGCATTTTTAACAAGCTGAACAAACCCCAAACAGGATGACCCCTAAGAAAACTATATCAAAATACATAATTAAACTTCTCAACAGTAAAGACAAAAAAAAAAAAAATCTTAAAAGCATCCAGAGAAAATTGACTTTACCTAAAGCAGAAAAACAATGTGAATGAAACAAGGTTCTCAGAAATCACGGAGGCCAGAAGGAAGGAACACAGTATTTTTTAGGTGCTGAAAGAAAAGAATCATCAACCAGGAATCCTATTCCCAGTGAAAGCATCCTTTGGGAATGAAGGGAAACCAAGATATTACCAGATGAAGGAAAACTAGACGGATCTGTCATCAGGAGAGCTATCTAAAATAATGGATAATGAAATTCTCTAACAGGAAAGAAAATAATAAAAGAACTTTGCAAAATCACAATAAAAGAAAGATCAAAGAAATGAAAAGTATCCACAAATACAAAAAACTTTCCTTCTTCCTTTGAGTTTTCCAAATTATTTTTGACGGCACAGCAAAAATTATAACACTTTCTAATTAGGTTCTAAGGAATATTTTCAATAATTCTGTCATATAGAGAGGAAAATAAAAGGTGTTAAGAGAGGTAACATCACATAAATTGGTAACATAATGACATTAAGAGACTGTGAAAAAGTCATGTATATATATAATGTAACACCTAGAATAATGATAAAGCAAGGTAGTGATACACTTAAAAACAATACAGGAAACTCAAAAAGTCATGCTAGAAACTGTTCAAGCAATCCACATAAAAGAAGGAAAAAAGAAAGATTTTTAAAATATAGAATACACAGGAAATAAAATATAAAATCGACTGAAGCCCTAACATATCAATAAATTCATTAAATTTAAATGATCTAAACATACAAATTAAAACACGATCATGGCAGAGAAGATTAAAAGCCATCAGCCAACCATATATTGCCCACAAGAAACTCACTTCACACAGAATGATATAAACATGATGCATGGAAAAGAATGGAAAGAGATATGTTAAGGACATGATTTCTTTAAGGCCATGATAACTCCACATGAATGGATATTTTATACTTATTCTTCATGAAGAGAAATAGGGTATAAAGAGCTCTAGGGCCTGAGGAACCTCCCTACAAGGTAGCAATGAAAAATTTGCAAACGGACTTGACTGTAGGCTCAGAAAATGAGTTGATTACTTAACAGAAAAACAAACAAAGAGCTGTAGGCAGAACCACCTAAGAACAGTTTACTGGCCTCTGTATTTAAAAGTGTGTCCAACACTCTAGGGCTCAGTGGTGGTGGTGGTGAGCAAATGGACCTGGTCTAGGGCTGGGGTAGGCAGGTAGGCAAGGTTTCCCAGCTGCAGAATGGTCTGGACCTGTTAGTCTCTTGTGGAACTTCCCATGCTAAGTTTCATGGAATTGGTCCCCTGGATAAGGGTCTTCTCAACTTGAGGATATCAAGTAGGCATAATGGGATAAGTGGATAGGTGTCTTTAACCCATGACATCACCTGTGGCTCAAGGACTTATCAGTACCTGAATCTGGAGGCACTGTCCATTATTCTTAGCTCCATCATCAAGCAACAAGGCAAGGTAATGGTTTTTCAGTTCTTCAGCTATTCACCCTGCACTGCACATATCCCAAACCATGGACGTAGTTTTCCTATGGACCAGGCACCCAGTAAAGAAGTAGCCTGCCTGACATGGGGTTTGTGAAGCCCTCCAACTTGATGAGGAAGAGGTGGGAGACTGAATCAAGAACACGGGCTCCCTATGCCTTCAGTGCTTCCCCCACAGTCCCCTGGCCATTCATGAAGGCTTGTCACATGAGAAACAGTAGGAAGGTCTGGAGTTTGGGCAAGACCTCCACATTTGATAGTGAACATCATACTGAAGGAATTTAAGCATCCTTGAATTCCACGGAAGTCATCTGGCAATTTGATGGTTGATTCGCTAAGTGTTCTATTTTTTCCAACAAGTAGACTGGGCTTAATTCCTTCTCATCTGTGAGCAAGAAATGAGTGTGAATCAATTCTACCAACCCTTTACACCTACAGAATGCATTTCACTGGCCGACGTCAGACGCCATCCTTACCTGCAAGGTGCTGATGTGAACAGGTGTGCCTGTGCCATTGACAGTGTTCTTTTTAGCCACGTTTCCCCCTTTCCCATCTGCTTGCTCGGCCTTGGCAATTCTGGCTTTTTCTGCTTCAACTCGCTTGGGGTTATTGAGCATCACCTGGACGACTGCGTACTCCACCAGGGACGCAAAGCCGAAGAGGAGACAAGCGATGAGCCACACGTCCAGCGCCTTCACGTAGGACACCTTGGGGAGTTCAGCAGCCAGAGTGGTGCACTCAGAGGCCAAGCTCAGTACCGAGAAGATTCCTGCAGGACAGAGACCAGAATTCAAGATGCTTATTGCTGCTGCTGCTGCTTCAGTCGTGTCTGACTGTGCGACCCCGTAGATGGCAGCCCACCAGGCTCCTCTGTCCCTGGGATTCTCCAGGCAAGAATACTGGAGTGGGTTGCCATTTCCTTCTCCAAGATGCTTCTTACTCCCATGAAATGTTCTACAGTCACTGCTCTTTGATGAAGTCTGTCTCCAGTAACTGCAGAAGGAAATGGCAACCCACTCTGGTATTCTTGCCTGGGAAAGCCCACAGATGGAGGAGCCTGGTGGGCTACTGACCATTCAGGTCACAAGAGTCAGACATGACTTAGAGACTAACCACCACCACCTTTCCAGTAACCCACTGTCACTCAAGTTCCTTTAAAGGATAAAGAGAAGAAGAAGTACTATGTATATAATTTTTATGAAGGAATTATTTAATGTGGGTGAAGATGCATGTAAACACCTAACTTTTTTAAAAATAAATATAAATGTAAACCAAGGTATAAAAACCACCATTTGGATCTTATCTAAATATTAAAGATATCTAAAACTATTCCATAGTATCTCTGAGGAAGCCACAAAGCTCTCTGATTAGAGAAGTTATTTTACTTCCTAGCTTTACTCTCAACATTTATAGAGCTGAGTTTTGCTCCCTGAACTACTAAGTCAGAACAAGAATAGAACATATAAAGCAATTTTCTGATAAGGTTCAAAATTTTTAAAAATCTAATAGAAAAGACAAAGTGGAGAACATCCTGGATTATTTCAGGGAAAACAAATGATTCTAGTTTTTTAAGGAAAGAATGAAGTCTTGCTATATGTTTTATTAACCTTTATGGGACGCTAACTAGTTGTGTATCAATTTAAGTCAAATAAGTGTAAAATCCCAAAGAAGAATAGCAATAATCCATCTCCCTCTTTCTCTCCGCTCCTGCCACACTCCTAAACTTTCCCTTGGTCTTCCTTCCTAAGTATTTTCAGAAGAGGGGCTGGGAAACATGACTCGTTGGGACCATCATCACCACATACTGGGCTGGAGCCTCAGGTAAGGTCAAAGAAGCCTCCCTCTAAGTCAGGCAGGAGCAAGTTTTTCTTGGCTCTGAGAGTGAATTTCAATTATGGGGCTATGTGGACCTTTTTCCTCCTAGATGTGACCAGTTCTGAGAGCTAGTGAATATATTACCCTAATGATGAAAGATGTACTTAGCTGTCTTTGCTCTTGCACTGGGAATACAATAACTACTATACTAGTGTCAATAATCAGCTAAAACATTGAAAAATATATATTCCATCAGTTGCTTCATTTCAGAGGCTTCTGAAAGGTGTGGAGAGTTTTTATTTTTGTTTGTAAATATTGAAGCACTAAGAGACTCTCCCAGAAAGAGAGAATTTGTGTAAAATATAACTTCTGCAGATAGAAACAATATTAAGTATATGCATATACATGTATATAAAAATATTACACATATATGTATATAATAATATTATGTATATATATTTAGGCTTGCTAAACATCTCATTTATGATTATAGTAACTATCCTTCATCTTGATGAAAACTAATTATATAATAGCACTATATTTTAAAACTTAACACAGGTTTTAATGTTTTCTAACCTGGAAGTGAAAAGTAGCATAAAAATGCAAGATCTTCTTAATCATTGCCCTAACCTCAGTTAATTATACTTATGGGCACTCATTTGGTAAGTCATTTTTCCAAATCATTTTTTAAAATTTTTAATAAAATGTTATGTCAACTTAAGCAAAAAGGGGCCTTGAGATAGACTATATGACCATTCTCTGTGTTTTCATAGCATTTCATTCTTATCAATAACACAGAATGTATCGCATTGTAGTAAATTTAGTAGCATATCTGAACCTTTATCTTGACATATTAGAAATCTTTGAATGAAATGGAGAATAGTGCCAGATTATAGAAGGTCTTGAAAGTCCTAGTATGGATCTCTGATTGTATTTGGTAGAGAAGTTATATTATAAAAAGAATGTTTCAGTAATGTCCCTCTAGTAGGGATATAGAAATAAACTAAGAAAGAGAAAATAGGAGATGCAGAAACAAAGAATAACAAAATGAAAGACAGGATTGATGTAGAAAGAAGGATTTTGGAGGAAACATTTTTTAAAACTTGGTTACCAATTAAAGAAAGAAGGTAGACAGAGACAAACGTCTGGACAGAATGACTGCAGAAACATGAAATACATAATAGGAATAGGAGGCTATGGAAAAGATGTGACTTTGAAAGGAAAATACCTAGTTAGGTCAGATGAGGGTCTAGAAACAAAAACACTGGTAACCACCACTCAGCACCGGCCACCTGGACTTGTTAAAGGACAAACTGGTCAGCATCATTCGGGGGAGTCATGGTGAAAAGGGAAGGGACTCTGAGGCAGGGATGCTCGGGTGTCAGAAAAAGGGGATCAAAGAAGAAGAGAAGAATTAGGAGGAATAGGATATTAACGGACATTGGGAGGTATTTAAAGTCCCAGGTGTTAAGTTAATAAAAACCATGGTGGCCAATTCCATTAAGATTTGTATCATTTTGAAGAAGTGGGAACGGAAATGGAGATGAACTGAGGGGCATGACCGTGTACCTCGTCTACAGGAAATAATATTAACATAGGAAACATACATTTGCTCTTTTATCCTAAAATAAGAAATCTGAGAAAATAACATTTCTCTAGACAAATGATTCAGTATTTTCTTAAGACAGCTGTCAGATGGGATTATTTCACTTCTAACTAACCCATAGTGAAATTCTGCCCAAATTTTACTATATTATGAACCAATAAAAAGAAATGTGAAGCCCATCATTCATACAAATGTGGATTTTTATAATTTTAATAATGTGTTCTTAATAAAATATCCCAATTTAATGGAGCACCTCTTCTGAATTAAAGAGGAATACCCAAAACTAGAAGACCAAAAAAGGAAAAGAAGAAAAAAATGGGGAAAAAAAAAGTGTGAAGAATGGAAAGGAAAAGAAAGGGGGTTCTATCCACAACACACAGAACCAACAGAGTGAGTTTAGGAGAAACTGTACACAGCAGCTGCTATGTAAACCTCAAATCGTTTTTATCCCACACGGAGATGAATTACAATACTCTCTAAATTCATACATATGTAGTTGTTACTAATAACATGAAAATTCACTTATAAATATGCTAAATTATTATATCCGCATGTTATCATTTCACATCACTCTAACCAAAGGACAGTTAAAAGCAAAACTACAATTGCTACCATGTGCAAATCCAAAAATACTTTTGAAATTTTTGGAGGAGATTCTTACAATCAAAAAGATCTTGAACCACTACTCCAGATGATAAGAAAAGACTATACGAAGAAAGAAAGGTACTTTACGTGGCCTGCTAGAGATCTGAACTGTGACCTGAGTTACTCATCTTTTTACATTTATGATTGAAAACTATTTGTTTTAAAAAATCCTTTTTTAGCAGCAACTAAAGCATTTCATGTACCAGGAAAAGAAAATGTTAAAGATCACTTAGAGTAAGAAGTAAAAGACATTCCTTATAAAAGTATAAGACTTTTATACTTAAAGAAATAACTGAAGACAAAGTCTACCTAAAATTCACAGAGGAAGCTTTGATTTTTGTTAGCAATGAAGAATGTAAATTTTAAAAAAAGGAAGAAAAATGAAACTAGAATACAAAACCAATCTTTTTTTAAAAAAGCAAAATTAATGTAGAGTAAATGATACATGTTTTTCTCCTAAATTTTTAAAAATAATATGAGCCATACTAGGAAAAGACTGGAAAATTCATTTTGTAATCTTTGGAAACAATGTAGGGAAAAAATAGAGAAAGGAAATATACACTGGGTCAACATAGCCATATTGACAGAATATCCTGAAATTTAATCTAAGTCAGTAACATGATTTCATTTTTCTTTTTGGGTAAAATTATAAATATGTGTGGGTCTACTAACAGAGCTTCAAAATATCTGAAGCATAATTCCATAATTAGAGTTGGAGATTTTGACAACATCCTCATCAATAACTATGACCTAGACAAAAGACAGGAAAGACTTTAAAAGTACTATCAACTAACTTGACTCCATTCAGATTTATGAATACTACACCAACAATGACAAACATGCACTGCAAGTGTGCATGAGATGATGCTAGGAAACATATGCTAGGCTGGGCCATTAAAAAAGGCTCATTAAACATAAAAGTATTGACATCATAAAGTATGTTCCCTGATAAAATTAAAAACAAATCATATTCAAGTACTTATGAAAATCCTAAATACTTGGAAACCAAACTACACATATCTAAGAAATCCATGGGCTCAATATTATGAACATGTTTGTGCTAATAACTTTTCCAACTCATCTATCATCTAGGAATAAATTGGTAAAATTCATCCAACAAAGGGAAACAACATAAACATTTAAACATACACAGAGAAAGCATCTGGAAAAATTCAACAGTCATGATAAAAACTCTGCCAACTAGGATAAAGCAGGGAACCTCTTCAACCTGATCAAGAGAGCTACAGAACAGAGAGCCTGTATTATACACAACAGTGAATACTTCAACTATTGCTACCCAGAGTCAGGAATAAACATCTCTCACAATTCTATTCGACATTGTACTAGAGGCACCACAAGAAGACAGAAAAGTTAAGTGTTTGGGAAGTATGTGACAGAGGGGTATATAAAAACAAGCAAAATGGTACCATTACATTGATAAACACTATTTTAGAAAAGTAAAACAAACTTTCCCCATAAAATGCAGAAATCTCATTTCTAGGTGTTTATCCAAGAGTAATGAAAACATATGCCCACACAGAGGCTTGTACACAATTATTTGTAGCATCATTTGTAATACTCCAAAACTGGAAACAACCCAAATCTCCAACAACTGTTTAATGGGAAAGCACACTACTGAAGTGGAGCAGGACCCTGCGGTCTTTGTCAATCATGTCCTCTGTCTGCCTTCTGTCTGTGGAACA